GCACGGCTTGAACAGCGTCTGGTTCGTGTCCTGGCAGATATCTGGGAAGAGCTGGTCAAGGAAAGCAGCCCAGGTACAGCCAGGCACGCATCCAGAGGGATAAAACTCCCAATCCCCCCACCAAATGCTGTTAACCCCCTTCCCACCCCCATTTCTCCCTGATGAAGAACCCACACCCCAGAGCTCCATCCCGACTGCCCAGGGATGTGGGTGACGTTATTTCCATGCTGGAAAACTGGGACAACAGCCACAGCCTCCCCGTGGGGGCTGGGAGATGTGGCTGGATCCCTGTGAACCAGATCCTCCTGTGGATGTCACAAAGGCAGGGGATTAACTTCTGTTTGCAGACAGCCCCGGGGAGGGATCGGCTCCAGCCCCACACGCAGGGACATCCCAGCACACACAATGCCTCTCCCACAGCCAGGACTTTAGTTCCGGTATTTCTATCTTCCCAGTGCATTTTCCTTCCCAGTGGAAAACCTGTTCCTGCCAGAGGTGTAAATGGGATTTCCTGCCTTTAATCACAAACAGAAGCTCTGCTCTGATTGTGTCGCACTTGTGGAGCGATCCAGCGGCAGAGGAGCTGTGGATCCAACCCCATCCTGCTCTGATCCCATCCTCCTCCAACCCCATCCTGCTCTGATCCCATTCTCCTCCAACCCCATCCTGCTCTGATCCCATCCTCCTCCAACCTCATCCTGCTCTGATCCCATCCTCCTCCAACCCCATCCTGCTCTGATCCCATCCTCCTCCAACCTCATCCTGCTCTGATCCCATCCTCCTCCAACCCCATCCTGCTCTGATCCTTTTTCTCTTCCGACTTCTTCCTCTTCTTCTGACCCCCACCCTCTTCATCCAACCCCCTTCCTCCTCTTCCACCCTTTTCTCCTCTTTTGATCCCTTCCTGTTTTTCCAACCCCTTTCTCCCCTTCCCATCCCCATCCTTTTCTTCCAACCCCTTCACCCTCCTCAGACCCCCCTCCCATCCCCTTTCCAATCTCAGCTGCTCTCCAATTTGGGGGCTTCACGCTGCAGTTTCCCCCTCAAACACCACAACGTGGTAGAGGAAAAAAAATCCCAACCCCACATAAACCAGGAAAAGTCACCAAGTTTAACCCAGTTTCTTAAGCTGCCAAGGCCTGAGACTCATCCTTCCCTCCTCTCCTCCCCGAACAAGGATTTCTCATGGATCCACTTCCTAACAGGCTGTGGGGAGCCCTAATCCGGGCTGGCAGCAACGTCGGAGCCCATCCCAGTGGAGATGGATCCGAGCCACCCGAGGGCAGATGTGGGGAGAGCAGGGGTGGGGAAGGCAGGTTTTCACCTCCTGGAGTGACTCCCAGCTCCAGCACCGACTTCACCAGCAGCCAAAAGCACAGATCCCCGAGATACCAAAAAGCCCAGGCCCCACCTGGAGCCTCTCCCCACCCCTTCAGTGCCCTGTCACAAACAATCCAGCTCCCGGGAGCACAGAGAGCCCGAGAGGCTGCAGATGTTATCGGGATGCAGATGTTATGGGAAAGGCTTGTTTGTGTCAGGGGGAGTCAGCTGAGAGCTCCTCCCCGCCCTCCCCAGCACCAGCTGCCAGCAGCGGCTTCTCTGGCTGTTTTATGGGATTTATCCTGTCTTTATTTTGAGGTATATGGTGGTTAGAGGGAAACAAAGGCAGCTTCCAGCTCCTGCTCCCTGTGCGGGGGTGGAGGTGAGCCGGTCAGCTTTGGGGACAAAACAAACCCAGTGGTTCCTACAAACCCAGGGGGTCCCAAAAACCTCAGGGCTCCCACAGACCCTCGAGCTCCCACAAATCCAGAAGCTCCCACAGACCCCTGAGCTCTCACAGATCCAAAAGAGTGGATGGAGCAGATGCACCCAGGGCAGTGCTGGGGAAAGGGTCCCATGTTGGGGGGTGATCCCTGAGCTGGGAGATCCCAGAGGAAGTTTCAGTGCCGGGTCTCCAAAAGCTGAGGCAGTTTTGGGAACTGGAACAGCTCAAGGCTGAAAGGTTGAAAGAACCTTTCAAGGGGTCACAGCGACCAAGCTGGGCCTTGGCAGCTCCAAAGAGGCCCAGAACTACCCCTCCAGATCCTCCCCAAAATCCCCAAGGACACGCTCCGGTGGTCAGACACCCCTTCCCGCGCACACCCCTCACAACTGAGGCCTCCTTGGGTTCTCTGGGTGCTTCCAAGTGAACTGCCCACCCTGTTGGGATGCTCTGGATCAGGGAGGCTGCGGTGGGACCAGCCTGTGCCTTTGTCCCTCCCACACGAACCGGCTGCTCCATGGCACGGGAGCGCCAACAGACCGGGAGACGTTTCCTCTGGGCTCCTGCTTGAAACCAACGGCTACAGCAAACCGGTGGCCTTGATTTAGGGCCAGGGAGGGGAAAAAAGGAAGGGCAGAGGCAGGGCAAACGGCCAGCAAACAGCCAGGGACAGTAGCAGGTGGATCAAAGGATACGCGTGAGGCAGTGCCGGGTCATCGGCAGGGACGGGTTGGAGCATCGGACGTCATCGACAAAGGCCAAGCAGCGCTGGCTGGAACGGGTGGTGTGGGCCTGAAATCATGGAATGTTGGACCTTAAAGCTCCTGTTCCACCCCCTGCCACCAGCCCAGGTTGCTCCAAGCCCAGTCCAACCAGGCCTTGGACACTTCCAGGGATGGGGCAGCCACAGCTTCTCTGGGCAACCTTTGCCAGGGCCTCCCCACCCTCCCAGGGAGGAATTTCTGCCCAATATCCCATCTAAATCTCTCATCTCTTAGTTTAAACTGTTCCCTCTTGCCCTACCACTGTCTGGCCGTGTAAGTCCCTCTTTCTAATGTCCCTTTTAGGCCCTGGAAGGGGCTTAAGGTCCCTCTTGAGCCTCCTTCTCTCCTGGCTGAGCACCCCCAGCTCCCTCAGAAGTTCTCCAGACCCTTCTCCTTGTGCTCCAGCCCCTTCCCCAACTCCCTTCTCTTCTCTGGACACACTCCAGCCCCTCCACGTCTGTCTTGGGAGCAATGGCCCCAAAACCAACCCCAGGATTGGAGGCGCCCAGCACAGGGGGACAGATGGTCACCAGACCGTGGTGTCCTAGCAGGAAGGGGGGATCTGTCAGGGGCCTGGCATCACTCCTGGGAAGAGACAAGAGGGGAGACCCCCCCGGGGTGTCCCCACAGACCTGCTGGGCCGCGCCGTCGGTGGCCAGGACGCGGCGCTCCCGGAGCTGCCGGTGCAGCAGAGCCTCCACCCCGTAGCGCTGCCGGTACCTCCGCAGGCACTTGAGCCGCTTCAGGTTCTCCCTCTCCTTGGCCATCAGCCCCTCCGGGCCTGTCAGGAGGCTGCTCCCTGCAGGAACCACAGGGAAGTCAAGGAATCTCCACCCCCCTGCCTGTTTTTTTTCAGCGTCAAGAACCCAAATCGGCTGTCAGAGGGCTCGGAGAGCCACGGGGGGGGATTCAGAGGCTCAGTGCGAAGCTCTGGGTGACACCAGTAACGCAGGTTCCGTCCCAAAATTCACCCTGACCTCTCTGTGCACACCAGGAGCGCTGGGGCCCGCAGGGTAATTTTAAAACCCCTTTTAAAAATAGCCCAGCCACTCCCGTCCGTTGTGATTTCTGCAGCAGAACAGGAGCTTGTCGAATTCCAGGTCGCTCCTGCGCGAGTTCTGGAAGCTTCCTGCCAGCATTCCCGGAGTAATTACAGGGCAACACTCGAGATCTGCTCTCCTCTGACTGCTTTGCTAAAAGGAGTTCTGCAAAATTGGTATGTACCAAAGTCCTGGTTATTTTTACTTGGGCCTGAGCTGAATTATGACATTTTCCGGGATGAGCTATTAAAGGATGATGCTGGAAAAAGAGTCCTTTGCTCTGCAATACTTGGGATCAGTTACAGAGCCCGGTTTTGCCTCAGCTGAACTGGGAATTCCTGCTTCCAAGAGCATGTTCTGCACAGGGAGAATCCCAACAGAGGCAGAGGGAAAGCTGCATCCATGCTAAGGAGGAATATGCCAGTACAGCAGCACTGGTGCTACTGGAACCAACTCCTGCCCACACACCCAGGGCCTTACGGACGAATATTTTTTGTTTATAGAAGCAAAAACAGGAAATCCCAGTACAAAAAAAGCACTTTTGTCTCAGAATTAACTTTGTAAGCTCATTTCCTGTCAACGCTGCAAGCTTTGAAGAGCAAAGAAATGCTCTGGAAAAGCTTTGGAACCCCGATGATACGGATCTCTGGGCATGGGGCCAGCACAGGATCCCAGAATCCCCGGGGTTGGAAAAGACCTCCAGGATCATCGAGTCCAACCTGTGCCTGATCCTCCACCTTGTCCCCCCAGCCCAGAGCTCTGAGTGCCACCTCCAGTCCTTCCTTGGACACCTCCAGGGACGGGGACTCCAAACCTCCCTGGGCAGCCCCTTCCAATGCCTGACAACCCTTTCCATGGAGAAACTCCTCCTGATGTCCAACCTGACTCTCCCCTGGCACAACTTGAGGCTGTTTCCTCTCATCCTGTCCCTTGTTCCCTGGGAGCAGAGCCTGATGCCCCCAGCTCCTCCCTCCTGTCAGGGAACTGTAGAGAAGAACCCTTGAGACTCCTTTCCTCCAGCATGAGCCCCCCCCAGCTCTCCAGCCCCTTCTCCTTGTGCTCCAGGCTCATTCCCACCTCTACACACGCTCCAGCCCCTCAATGAAAACACCTGAGCGTGGAACCCTCACCCTGCTCCAAAATCTGCCTCTACAAAGGCCAAAACCCCCTCCTTTGAGACGTTTTTCTGTGCACGCCCTCGGCCAGGAGGCCCCGGGCTCACCGATGGCCTCGTGCTCTCCCTTCCGGCTGTGCAGGAACCGGCGCTTCTTCTCCTTCAGGAGGTGCTGGAGCCGCTTGAACTGGTCGATGTAGAGGGACTGGAGCCGGATCAGCTTCTCCCTCATGATCAGAGCCACCTCCTCGGCCGTGTACACCCCGGCGTGCCTGGAAAAACCAGGGGCTGTTTGGGATGGGGCCCTCGGGGTTGTTCTCCTTCAAGGGTGTGGGGATCCCTCAGGATTATTCTCCCAAGGGGTGTGGGGATCCCTCAGGATTGTTCTCCCAAGGAGTGTGGGGATCCCTCAGGATTATTCTCCCAAGGGGTGTGGGGATCCCTCAGGATTATTCTCCCAAGGGGTGTGGGGATCCCTCAGGATTGTTCCCCAGAGGGTGTGGAGGTCCCTCAGATGTTTGCCCCCCCAGGGTGTGGGGATTCCCCAGGATTATTCTCCTGGAGGATATGGGGGTCCCTTGGAGCTGAATCCCCAGGATTCAGCTCCTCACAGGATTTAACGTGGATTTAACAGGATTTAA